AACGAACTGAACTTTCCACTAGTTAAACATACTGTACACAGACAACAACGAACTGAATATTCTACTATCTAAACATTCTGTACACAGACAACAACGAACTGCACATTCCACCAGCTAAACATACTGTACACAGACAACAACGAACTGAACATTCAACTAGCTAAACATACTGTACACAGGTATCAACGAACTGAACATTCCACTAACTAAACATTCTGTACATAGACAACAACGAACTGAACATTCCACTATCTAAACATACTGTACACGGACAACAACGAACTGAACATTCCACTAGCTAAACATACTGTACATAGGTAACAACGAACTGAACATTCAACTAGCTAAACATACTTTACACAGTTAAAAACGAACTGAACATTCCACTAGCTAAACATTCTGTACACAGGTAACAACGTACAGCCATGGGCGGCTATTTCTCCAGAACTCTCCCACATAGAAGATGTCTCGGATGAGATTGAGAAATCAATCGGAACACATCGTAGGTAACTTCCATATCTCGAGTATCGTTGAGTTGAAATGAACCGACGTTTATCCGAATGCTTGGTTAAAGGCAAGTAACTCGGTTTGTTTGCGTCCTCCTGCTTCGAGTTTGGCTAACTCAGTAAAAAGGCGGACATATATTCCGGGCCTGTTCGCTGTCAACCGATCTCACGGGGCATAAGGTGTGATGAACCTTGTGTACATAGGCTCACACACAGGGCACATCACACCATGTACCCCTCGAGGTCGGTTGACCACTTGTAATGTGCCGCCGCTGCCTTGCCAATATCTACTAAAATGGTTGTTACATCCGATATTGACATTGTTAACAGAGTTGTTACACCGCCGCTCTTAGAGGGCGAGACCCATGAAGATGAGGGGTAGAATAGGTCTTCAGCAATCAATGTTTGCCGTAAAAGGCGACTATGCTTGTTGTAAGAGGCGACTAACGGGATCGGGTGGTCAGGATCGCTGACTTGTTTGATACATGTCATCGATCTCAATTGCGTGGATCGATGCTCATGATGTCAATCACTGGATTGTCTGGTCAAGACTCGATTATTTTACAGACCGCCGTCATATAGCTGGAATATTGCTGAGTGCGGCGTTAAACAACAAACAAACAAAACAAACAAACTTAGAGGGCGAGCCTCCATGTCTAGTGTTACCATTATGGGTTCTGGCAATGACATTGTTAGGATAAGACATTGATCAGACGACTGACCAAATATTATTTTGTATATTTTCAGTAACAACATTCACACCACTTTATATGAAGCACAGTTACTTTTTCCGCTAGTATATATATGTTTCCTTAATAGAATCGCTTTCGCTATTCATTATCGGCTGTTAAACAAGTGCGTGCCATGTAAAGCAATGGTTTCAGGAGCATTGTATAAAACACACTAAGTCTTAAAAAAGCCAGATTCATTTTTCCTCCTTGTTATCACGAAATATTAGGTAATGATTTGAAAATAGGGAAGAACTGAAAGTATAATGTAAAATCGAATATAGAAAAGGTTATGTCTCTGTTACTGTACACGACCGATCATACTCATACATTTCCGAGTATGTCTCATATTTTGCCTAAGGAAACAAGGCCTGGTTTCTTGTAATTGAGGGTCTGGTGGGGTGAAATGGGGTTTAAAATAACGTCGCGTCCAAGATTATTGCACTTATATAGCCACATTCATGCACGCGTGTTTGTGTGTGTGGCTGCTTGTACTAGTCGGGACTGATGCCGATCTATAGTGCTAGCACACTGAGATACCAAGCCGCAGTTTAACATGAATGCCCTACTAAGGCACAGTATACTGACTCCGAGCCGACCAGTCCCCCTTAATGCCTAGCGCCAGACAGAGTAACAACAAGTACCATATTTTAACGTCTTTTGGTAGGACGCAGCCAAGCCCAAATAATATGCTACTAGCAAACAATAAGATCAATTATACATTATATTTTCTATCTGCGTACGGGCAACAAATTGCAAGGATGTCATAGTTACTTCACTGTTCACGGTTCTGTGTTGGATCGAAGCTTGTTCTTGTCGATGGTTAGGTTTGACAGTGACAGAGGGTTGGTGTTAGGTTGGAGGGCCACACTGTAGTCGGGGTCGTCCTGGTTGTGGATATCGGGACTACAGCTCTTTGTGGAAAGTTGGCGAGGGGGATCCGTCTCCCGATGTTGATGGGGTAAGGAGTAGATGGGCTCAAGGGCGTCATTCCCTTCAGGGGTAAACCGTAGCGAAGGTGAAACAAAGGCCGGGTTGCTTTGTCTCCTGGGTAAAAATAAAATTTATAGATGGTTCTGTGATAACAATTTAATAATATACGTATATTGATTATTATAAATAGATTTGTCTGTATGCATATCATGAATTTACACATTTCGTTTCGGAAAATATAGATTTGTCTTGCCACGAATGTCTTTCATATTAACACACGTCCATGCAATAAAATGTTTTGGTGTGGTACCATATACAAGATGAAGATAATACCAAAAGTCACAAATCCAACCAAAAACCCAACAGGAAGGAAAACAAGCTGTGATCCATCTGAAACATAATTTGACAAATTTGTACATTTTAAAGGAGGTATATATATAACTTGGCACACCAGTTGGTAGACGAACTTTACCACAGACGTGTCCGAAAGTATACAATATTATTCTATTAATCGAATCAAACAGATACATGCACTTACCAAGAACGGCGTTACCTGGTGGCACTGATTGCGTCCTATCGGTGTTTGAAGCTGCTTCTCTCGGCGAAAAAAAAATCGATAATCGATAATAATATCATTTAACCAAGCAGTTAAGCACTTCCTTTTCAAACGTGATATGACGAAGTGTGAAATATAATTCGTGTCATTATTATTCTCGTGTCGTTATTATTGACAGAGGGTTGGGGTTAGGTTTGAGGGTAGTACGAGTATCTGTACTTTACTGAGAAAGTGTTATCCCAAATATAACATTTGTTACATTTGACTTCTTTCTAAATGGCATTGTGTTTTCGTATTATTATTCTCCTGCTGATCAAGAATATTTAGATTATCGGAGTGCTGACGTTTCCCAAGAAAACACACTGGTGTGTTTGTTATACAGAATTTTAGATTTTTAGAAGAATAGTTGTCTAATGTCAGTCTCATAGACATGACATAGATGATGATATTATCATGATTGCCTTACAATAGAATAATCAATAATGTGTCATGGGGTTGAACCATTTACACTCTCTCATTTACACTTCATACGAATAAACATTCCTTTTTCCATTGGTGAAGATAATATAGAGTTAGGCGTTGGAGTGATTGTGTTGTGTTACAACAACCATTAGAAAGGTGGAAGTAGCAAAGGGCATACCTGTACATGCGACTGTGACGTCAGATCCGTTGTGTCCTGTGGAAAAAGAAGTAAATTAATTAATCAATTGGCCTCAATGGTATACATTTGAACTATTATTACTATTTTATAATCAATGGAACCTTGTGAAAATTATTACCTTCCACTGTCATCCATATTTTGTCAGGGAGATAGTCTCGGATAACATCCACCTGTAAACTCCACTCTGATTGGCTGATGTTAATCTCCTCCATGAAGTGGACTGCCAGGTCGCCACCATGGATTGTGTACACTGTACGTGTCTTGTCCCTGATGGACAGTGTGGTCACGTTGCTGTTGCCCAGTCTGACGTCCAGCAGGGTGACGCGGCTCGCAGCTCCTCTGACTGTACAGGTGCAGGTGCTTGTTTCCAGAGATGACATCTTCAGTCGGTTGCTGCTGATGTAGACCTCCTTGCCCGTTTTGGTCTTGCTGTCACACAACAAGACACTCGCAACTTGATCTGAAATTATATGCTCTACTTGTCTGAGAAAGTAAATAATTATAATTCGATTTGTCGATGTTATACTTTTTATACAAATAATAGGAAATATGTTGCCATTATTATCCATTTTGTATGCTTGCACACGTTTAAAATCAATTCCAAGTAACCAATGATAAAATTGAATACACAATGCCATTTAGAAAGGGGTCAAATGTAACAAATGTTATATATTTGTGATAACACTTTCTTAGTAAAGTACAGATTCTCATACTTTTTTAGATTGAGTCCCGTCTGAAAATAATTATAATCTTAAGATTATTCTCATATGCCAAGATTATACAAATATTGTCACAATTGTTAGTGTTTACATGGATGAGTACACTCCTTGGAAATGAGAAGGCTTTGTGAAAAATGTTAAGACAGCTGTGGAGTGGTGATATCAGATTCCGATCACACGATAGATTACTCAGAAAGTAATGTTCCCAGGTGCCAGTGATTGAATCAAAGTGTTTCAATTGTTCATAACACATTAACCACGTGGTGATTCCATGTTAGAATAGATCCCAGTTATCTTGTGGAATGAGGTTAGGGTGGGCAGGGTGAATCTAGCGTAAAACAAACAAATAATCTTTTGGAGTGTCATCACATGTTTTAGGTCAGTCTGTTATTACGTGTACAATATGAATGCAGAAAGGAATAAAACAGAATATATAATACAAATGTGAGTGGTGAGGGTAGGACCACAACGTCTACAACGTGGAGCATACTCTTAACATTAAAACTTGCACTAAACATTTCCATAGCTATATCAAGCTCTTTACCTTTAACACACTGATGCAATACAGCCAGATGTGACGGGCGTTTCTTTCTCTCTCCTACTGGGAGGTCCTTCAGACCATGGACAGAGGAACTCGTGTCACTCTCCAGGATACAATACCTCTTCTGACTACATTCCTCCAGAACCTCCGTGATCGCTGCCTGATAAGCCCTCTTCTGATGCACACCCGATGCGTTTAGCAAACATTCCACAACGTCATAGTATTCATCATTGAATTTTTCTACACAGGATCTGTAGTCTGCACCCATGTCGTCGCCGTCCTTACTTACATGCGCTCTTTGCAAGAAGTGTTTGACCAACACTGATTCATTTCTGGGACACTTGATCTCTTTACTCCCCTCATTGTAACAAACGCTAATAACGTCCCCTTCTATTTCTGCCACATCCACTTTGTCACAAATGAGGGAACCTGAAGTATAACAGAAAAAAGTGCATGAGATTATTTCACAAAGATTATTGATTTGTATTTTAAATTCAGAAACAGGGACATTCAGGACAACGTCAGTGTGAAAAATGAGTATATATTCAACGCAATAACAGAGTCACGCAGTTTTCAATGTGCAGAAATAAAGAAAGTTTATGACAAATACGGCTGACCTAAACAAGTATTAGGCACCTTTCAGAGGAGAAACCTGTATACCTTGAAGCAGTGGCACAAGACCAAATAGCGTCCATTCCTATTTGGAATGAACGTTGGAATGCTTTGGAAAGATCGCTCATTCCAAACTTTCCAAAGCTTGGAAAGATCAATCTTTCCAAAAAATCCAAAATTGGAATGGCAACATTTCCAAACATATTTCCAACATTGGAAATGTTTGGAATGACTTGGAATGGTTTGGAATTGTTTGGAATTGTTTGAAAATATGGTTAGAAGGAACAAGTTAAAATATGTTTTATCAGTAATTTGAACAATAAAAAGACTATGAATTAGGGGCTTTCGGGGCTGCTTATTTAGTAATTTTGAAATTTTGAGATTTGGAAAGAATGCCAAGAGTAGGTGGGGGACGAACTAATTAGGGAGATGTGTGTGTTGGGTGGTTGTTAGATAAGGTAGTTTTGGTTTTATTATTTTATTTGGGGTTTAAATGCGACTAATTAGTCCTGTTTTAATTAGGTATAAACCTAAGGCTTTGAATTTTTCAAATTTATTTTATGGATTTAGGATTGATTCTGTGGTAAGTCCGGTTTTAAGATTTAGGGTGGTCTGTAGTGTTGTTCGATGTGTTTGGTAGTGTGTGCAGTGAATGAGTACGTGTTCTGGTGTTTCTTGTTGTTTGCAATGTGGGCAGTTTCCTGTTGTGTGTAGATTAGCTATTTTACGGTGATTATTTAGTTTGGTGCGGCCTGTTTGTAGTTTAGTAATTATTCTGTCGATTTTTTTGGATGGGTGTAGTATTTTTGGTTTATTTAGGTTTTTTTGAGTACTTTCCTGATTTGGCTATTTAAGTTTTGGTATATATTTTGCCATTTTTTGTTGATTTTTTGTTTAGTGAGACTTTTGATTTCTGATTTTGAGCTGGGTAAGTTTAAGCTTATTTCTGGGAGTTAAAGGGCTGCTTTATCTGCCTTTTCATTTCCAAAGATTACTATGTGAGCGGGGGTCCAAATGAACTCTATTTGTTTACCTGCCCTACTTAAGTTGTTTGAGCTATTGAGTATTTGATTTATTAGTTTGGGGTGGTTTTTAGTGTTTTTATTTTTGAGGGCTTGTAGTCCACTGAGGGAGTCGGTTAGGATGAGGATTTTTTGGTTGTTTTTTAGATTGCTGATGGTGTAGTGCTGAGACAACTACTGACTGATATAGAAGATTTAACGTGCGCTTTCCCACTGCAGCGTATTTCGCACACGGGCCTGGCCGGACCATTTAGTGTATTCCGAAAAGGGTGAAAGTGGTGTGTGCAACCCAAGAGGGGGCTTTTAGGGGTTGCTTATATTGAATTTTTGAGATTTTTAAATTTGGAATAAATGCTGAGGTGGGTGGAGGAGGGAACTAAGGGAGCCGGGTGAGGTGGGTGTTTGTATGTATATTGGATTTTTGGATTGGTAGATTAATTAGTTTTTAGATGCGCTTAATTAGGTCTGTTTTGATTAGGAATACGCCTAGGGCCTTGAAGTTTTCTAGTTTATTTTGAGGGTTTAGTATTCCATCTAGAGTAGGAACCTTATTTAGATTGAGGGTGGTTTGTAGAGTGGTTCTGTGTGTTTGGTAGTGGGTGCAGTGGATGAGTGCGTGTTCTGTGGTTTCGGGTTGTTTGCAGTGGGGGCAGTTGCCTGTGGTGTGTCTTTTAAGTTTTTTTAGGTGGTTATTTAGGTTCGTGTGTCCTGTTTGGAGTTTTGTAATTATTCTGTCAATTTCTTTAGAGGGGTGTAGGATTTTAGATTTGGCTAGTGGTTTTCTGAGCACTTTTTTGATTTGGCTATTTGAGTTTTGATATTGATTATGCCATTTTTTGGTTATTTTTTGTTTGTTTACACTTTTAATTTCTGATTTTGAGATGGGTAGGTTTAGGCTTATTTCTGGTATATTAAGAGATAATTTAGCTGCTTTATCGGCGCTTTCGTTGCCGTAAATTCCTACGTGGGCGGGGATCTACAAGAAGGTTATTTGTTTGCCTGCTTTTGTTAGGTCGTTGGAGCTTTTAAGTATTTGGTTTATTAATTTAGGTCTTTTTTTGGTATTTTTGTTTTGGAGGGCTTGTAGTCCACTAAGGGAGTCGGTGAGAATTAGGATTTTATTGTTGTTTTTAGATTGTTGGTTATGCAGGGCTGAGGCCATGCCCATAAGTTCGGCCGTGAATATAGATCGGTTGTTAGGGAGTCGGTAAGATTGTGTGGATATAACTGGTTGTGTGGTATGGACTCCGAAGCCTGTGTGGTTGGAGATCGGGTCTGAAGATCCGTCAGTGTATATGTGACACCCATTTGGCCAATTTTCGTGTATGTATGCAAGTGTGGTGGTTTTAGCTATGTTTGGGTCGGTTTGTTTATTTATTTGGTTAGCTAGCGTTGTGTCTATTTTTTGGTATTTTGAGTTTAGGGGTGAAGATATTTTATTTTTTGCAGTTTTGTTTAAGATTTTGAGTTTGGTGTTCATTGAGGTAGTTAGTTATTCTTTGGGATATTGGGGTGAGTAAGGGGTGTTTGCGAGCTAGAGTTTGGTTTCTTGGGCTTATGTTTTGGTTAATTATGAGACAACTAATAGGTCTCAAGATTAAGTATTTGGCTGGATGGCAGCTGCCATTTAATTACAAAACAGACAGTCGTCTAGAGCTGTGAATCTTCTGTTCATTGAACAATTGGAATTAAGGAAGTTATCAATAATTGTTTTAAGATAAGATAAGTTGTTTACAACATAATATTATGATGTCAGGACGTACTACAGTCAAAACCATATATTTTAAAATCAATTTTATGACAGACTATGATTTCCAAGTCCCGATTAGCAAATCAATGAGGTATCAGTTTCACCACATGTGCACAGACCGCCTATACTTATATATATATTTTTCATAACTATTCTCCAGTTAAAGTCCTATCCTCTTATCAAAAAATCTGTGAGAGTGATCATCATTAACGAAACTCATTCTCGTCAAAGAATACAGAACAAATGAAGAATCAGATGCATACATTTATTGCCATGCTTCATTCATCACGAAGTAGATTTACATACATTTGTGAATAGCACTTAAACTGTGATAATGAATTTTACCATTGTCGATATTATATTATAAATATTAACCATAATATGGATTTCCGAATTTATCATACAATGGGTAGGTTTCTCGGCAGGATAAAGCCAACGGATAAAAACGATATCCGTTGGGGTCATATGCGGATAGAGATGCAAATATCAAAGGTCAAGTAGGGACTACTTTCGCTGTTTATAAACAAACATGGCGTCGCCCTCGTCATTCGGCGATCGAGTCAGAATTAACCATCCCGAATCTGGATAAACTACAGGGATAAATGTTATCATTAACAAAAGAACAGTCTAATATACTGAAAATCAGTGTCCAACTGTGACGTAGCTAAGGCATTTTATAAGTTTTAGCAACTTTGGAGATATACATTTCGAAGAATTTTGCGAGGGCACGAGGCCTAGCCAAGCGGGATCAGTAGCCATATCTGTGCTTGTAACCCTCTGCGGCTTGAAACCTTCTCCACAAATTAAAATAGTTGGATTTGGCCGAAATATGTTCGAATTGTTACCTTGTTTCGTTTTGTCGCTTTGTGTACATCTGACTACACTTCTTAACGTTATGGCTAGACAGACCGACTGTCAACAACGTCTGACCGTGGCCGTGACGTCTCATAGACTAGGGTTAGAGTAGCTTCCCTTTGACAAAGGGCAGTTACTCTAGCGGACAGACCGATGGATTGCCGCGAAAGGCAAATACAAACAATTGTTGTTTTGCGTATATGTTCCTTCGCCACTGTATAAGAAACAGATTTCAGTTGGAACTATATTGGCTACTGTCACTGTCCGACTGACACATCACTTACCCTATGACGTAGTATATATTAATGCGCGTATTCCGGGAAAACTCGCAATGTTTCGGTAATGATTGTGAGAGAGGGAAAGCAATTTTGAAGCACAGAATTAAAGAATGACATTATATGATAAAGAGGTTATCACGCTTGTGTGTTTGGGGATGGTAAATATCCTGTATTAGGAATAAACACTATGTATTTGGCTCGCCAAGGCTCGCTAAATACAATGTTTATTCCTAATTCAGGATATTTACCATCCCCAAACACACTCGCGTGATAACCTCTATATATAAACGACTCCAAACGTTGATGTTTCAGACAAAAACAAAGTCAGCTGTCTTTCAACGTTCAGGGGAAAAGGGTTTGCTTTCACAATTGAACATTTGTTTTCACCAAAGGACAATCAAATCAAGCCCAAAACAGTAAAAATAGACATATATGGTTAGCGACCGCCTTTATACAGCGAGGGGGGAAATTATGACTGCCTTCACAAAAACATTCCAGCCCTTAATTACCGAGGCAGCTGTGACGTAGTAGCATTACATTCGCTGCGTTTGCAGCATATAAGATGTGTAATCTGTTGAGTGACTAAAGTAATATTACGGCTGAAATCTTACTTGCATGGTTGTTTTAATAGAAAACTTACGGTTTAAAAACACAATTGTTCTTATATAATGTTTTTAGGTTTGGTTTATAAATACAAGAGAAGGTTTTTTATTCAAATAAAACTTGTCGAAAATACAGCTGAACAATAGAAAAATAAAAATAGGAGTTGTGAATAGTGATAAATTTTAATTACATCACCGTGTCAATAATTATTGATTGATTCCGTCAAACAACTGTCAAACCATTTATTGCCATGTACGTACATTTACACAGGAAGTCGGCGCTGTCGGAGGCTCCAGGTAAATAGGCATC